GAGGGGGGGGGGGCTTTTACATCCTTTAGTAGACTTTGAATTTTGCCCATGGGAATGTATTCTCTATTTGAAACAATATGTTCGTTTGAACATTTTAAAGTCTTTTCCTACATAAGTCAGAGCACAGCGCACAAAAGCAATGCCACGTGTTATATGATGACGTAGAACAGAAATTGTGCAGTTAGACTTTGATTTGATCTCAATTCTGCCGCGTACAACCTGGGTGCCCTTGGTTAAGACTTTCCCCTCTCTGAGCCTCCGCTCCCTCAATTATAAAATGGGAATAATGGCACTCACTCCCTTCCCACCTGTTGTGAGAATTAATGAGTTGACCTATGTAGAGTGCTCAGCACAGTACCAGGAACATGCATAGTGGGGTGAACAGTGGCCCCAAAACATGTCAGAGTCCTAACCCCCAGAACCTGTGAATGTGACCTTATTTGGAAATAGGGTCTTTGCAGACCTAACTAAGGCAAGGATCTCAAGGTGAGATGATCCTAGATTTAGTTAGGGTGGACCCTAAATGCGTTGCCGGATGTCCTTATACGAAAAAGGAGAGGGACATTTGGGACACAGAGACGCTGTGAGGCAGAGACTAGAGTTACATAGCTACCAGCCAAGGATGGCCAGCAGCCACCAGAAACTAGGAGAAAGGCATGGAGTGGGTTCTCCCTCAGAGCCTCAGGAGGAACCAGCCTGGCCTTCACCTTGACTTCAGACTTCTGGCCTGCAGAACTACCAGAGAATAAACTCCTGTTTTCAGCCCCCCCCCCAGTTTGCGGTCATTTGTTATGGCGGCCCTAGGAAATGAATATACATAGAAAGTAATAAATGATGGCTGTAATTATTAGTCAGCTGAGACAGTGCCCAGTGTACCCAGGTACAGGGTGGAGACATTCCATTTGTCTATCTCCCTTTGTCTCTGGAAGCCTCTGGGTTAAACTGACTGTTTCCTGTTGGGGGGATGGGGGTCCCATTACCCCCTTACCACAGGGCTCTCTAGAGATACCGCAGAAATGGGCCAGGGGCTATATACCTGTGTCTGCCTCCTGCCTTCCCACATTGACGGGCCTTCCTGAATCAATACCACATGAGGTTCTGCTTTCAAAAGTTGGGACCCACACACAAGGCACTAAAGAATCCTGAGTCGCTTTTTCGCAACAGGTTTGCCATCAGAACACAGGTGTAGTGAAAACCACCACTAAATCTAACCCAAAATGGGAACAGAAAAGACACATATCAACATCGCTGTCATTGGACACGCAGATTCCGGCAAGTCTGCCACTACTGGTCATCTGATCTACAAAGGTGGTGGGATCGACAAAAGAACCATTGAAAAATGTGAGGAGGAGGCTGCTGAGATGGGAAAGGGCTCCTTCAAGTCTGCCTGGGTCTCAGATAAACTGAAAGCTGAATGTGAGCATGGGATCACCATTGATATCTCCCTGTGGAAATGTGAGACCAGCAAGTATTATGTGACCATCATCGATGCCCCAGGACACAGACTTTATAAAAAATATGATTACAGGTACATCTCAGGCTGACTGTGCTGTCCTGATTGTTGCTGCTGGTGTTGGTGAATTTGAAGCAGTTATCTCCAAGAACGGGCAGGCCCGTGAGCATGCCCTTCTGGCTCTGGGTGTGAAATAACTAATCGTTGGTGTTAACAAAATAGATCCCACTGAGCCACCTTACAGCCAGAAGAGATACGAGGAATTCGTTAAGGAAGTCAGCCCCTACATTAAGAAAATTGGCTACAACCCAGACCCAGTAGCATTTGTGCCAATTTCTGGTTGGAATGGTGGCAACATGCTGGAGCCAAGTGCTAATATGCCTTGGTTCAAGGGATGGAAAGTCACCCATAAAGATGGTAGTGCCAGAGCTGCTTGAAGCTCTGGATTGCATCCTGCCACCAACTCGTCCAACTGAAAAACCTTTGTGTCTGCCCCTCCAGGATGTCTACAAAATTGGTGGTACTGGTACTGTCCCTGAGGGCTGAGTGGAGACTGGTGTCCTCAGATCCAGCATGGTGGTCACCTTTGCTCCAGTTAATGTTACAACTGAACTAAAGCCTGTTGAAATGCACCATGAAGCTTTGAGTGAAGCTCATCCTGGGGACAATGTGGGCTTCAATGTCAAGAATGTGTCTGTCAAAGATGTTCGTCGTGGCAATGTGGATGGTGACCACAAAAGTGACCCACCAATGGAGGCAGCTCGCTTCACTGCTCAGGTGATTAATCTGAACCATCCAGGCCAAATAAGTGCCAGATGTGCACCTGTGCTGGATTGTCACACAGCTCACATTGCTTGTAAATTTGCTGAGCTGAAGGAGATGATTGATCATCATTCAGGGAAAAAGCTGGAAGATGGCCCCAAGTTTTTGAAATCTGGTGATGCTGCCATCGTTGACAATGGTTCCTGGCCAGCCCATGTGTGTTGAGAGCTTCTCTGACTACCCTCCTCTGGACCGTTTTGCTGTTTGTGAAATGAGACTGATAGTTGCTGTGGGTGTCATCAAAGCAGTAGACAAGAAGGCAAGTGAAGCTGGCAAGGTCACCAAGTCTGCTCAGAAAGCTCAGAAGGCTAAATGAATATTATCCCCAATACCTGCCACCCCAGTCTTAACCAGTGGTGGAAGAACAGTCTCAGAACTGTTTGTCTCAACTGGCCACTTAAGTGTAATAGTAAAAGTCTGGTGAATGATTACAATGCACCATAAAATCTTCAGAAGGAAAGAAGAATGTTTTGTGGACCATTTGTTATTGTTGTGTGGCAGTTTTTAAGTTACTATTGGGTTGTCGGAAAAATCATGACGTATTTTTTTGTTTTTCGTTGTAAAAATGCATCATGACTTTTCCGACAACCCAATAGTTTTTAAAATCAGTACTTTTTAATGGAAACAACTTGACCAAAAATCTGTCACAGAATTTTGAGACCCATTAAAGCAAAGTTTAATGAGAAAAAATAATAATAATAACCCTGAATCTAAAATATTTATTTCCTTTCCAATTATCTTTAATCCTTCAATAATCAAAGAGAGAGTCTCCATTTGGTGCTGGTCTTTATATCATCTACAGATCACTGCTCTCTCTGGGCCTCTCCATTTTGTTTATAACAGCTTTATTGAGATACAATTCACATGCCATACAATCTACCCATTTAAGGTGTATAATCCAATAGGTTTTAGAATATTCAGAGTTGTATAACCATCACCACAATCAATTTTAGAACATTTTCATCACTGTCCAAAAAGAAACCCTGGGCCCATTAGCAATCACTCTCATTACCCCCTCCCCTCAGCCCCAGGTACCACTAAGCTACTTTCTAGGGATTTGCCGATTCTGGATATTTCGTATAAATGGATCATAAAATCTGTGGTCTTTTGTAATGAACTTTTCACTTCGCACCATGTTTTCAGGGTTCATGCACGTTGTAGTGTGTCATTCCTTTTTACTGAATAATATGTATGGACAGACCACCTTTTATTTGTCCATTCATCAGTTGATGGACATTTGGATGGGTCACCTTGATACGTATTTTTACCCTTTTTTAAGGGAAAAGATTCTCACATGCTGTAGAATTATAAAATTTCCTTTTCAAATAGATTTATTTAAGTTAAAAAGTGGGTCAACTTAAAGAAAAACATAAAGGGAATAACAGTACAGGAAGTATATGGATACAGCATCCTGCTTCTGGTAGAAAGTAACTGAAGTTTAAGGAACTGCTGGCATGTTCGAAAGCACCGGTTCTGGATTCAGCAGGCCTGAGATCTACATTCCACTTTGTGACTCTGAGCAAGTGACTTCCCCTCCAAAAACCAGCACCCTTCAGGCATATGGTCAGCACTCAGTGAAATGGTACCCTGACCTCCATCTGATACTTGATCTCACTCCCACCACCTAAAATGCATTCCATCCGCCCTTACACAGGATGTAGTTAATTTACCCTTTCTCTGCAAATTGACTTATGGTTTTACACTACTAGGTGGCTTAAGAAAAACTATCATTTTGGGAGCCAGACAGACCTGGAAATTAACCCCACCACTGCCACTTCTTAGCTACAAAACCCTAGGCAAGGGTTTGCCCCACTCTGAGCCTCCGCTTCCTCCTTATATAATAAGGCTAATGAGCCTCACCTATTAGTCAAAGCTCAGTCCTTTGACCAGCAGCTTCAGCATTGCTGGGAATTTGCCAGAAGCACAGCATCTGCTCCCGCGTGCCCCGCCCCCCATCAAAATCTGAATTTTAACATACACATTAAAGTTTACGAAGCTCTGGCATAAAGTGGTTAGCAAAACACAGGGTATCTGGTAAAGGTTCAACAAAGGCTGATGATGGTGGTGATTATCAATCACCCAGCCTCTGCAAACTTGCTAGCTCTGTGACGCCGCGGCAGGTCAAAGTTAAAAAACGCCTGTTTCCTCATCCCTAAAATGGGGGAAAGAGTAGAGCTCACTTCTAAGGGTTGTTGCGAGGATTAAATGAGCTCACCAGTGTAAACTACGTAAAACGGCGCCCAGTACACAGTAAGGATTCCATCAACCTTCGCTATAATACCAATATTGTTCTTAGTTCTCAACGTTATTTGCCTCACCACCTGCTGCCGACAGAGGCCGCAGCCGCGGCGCCTTGGGCCTCCCAGGGAGGGCGAGAGCCACAACTGAGAGCTCAAGCGGAGGCCAGCCCGGCCTCCCAGTCCTCCCAGGTCGGGGGCCCGAGTCCGGAGCCCTTGGGGTGCCCCACACGCCACCCGGGAGCCCGGAGCTCCCACTCACGCTCTCCAGGACATCATAATTGGCCTTAATCTGCGCTTCGATCTCCTCCTTGCGCCGTATCAGCTCCTGGACGTCGCTGATAGTCACCCCGCCGGCCTGCGGGGAGCCTCCGCTCGGCCTAGCTTCCTTCTCCGACATCGTCGACCTCCGCTGGGGATGCTGGACACCGAGTTTCCCGGTCGCAGACGCGGGAGGAGACCGTGGCTACGGCTCCGCCCGCGGGCCAAAACACCACGGCCGTACGCGAGCGCGGTGAGAAGCGAGGGGGCGTGGCTCCGTCTGTGGGGCGTGGCTCCGTCTGTGGGGCGGGGTCCCCGGAAGCCACACCCTGCTGGAACACGTGGTCCGGTGGTGACTTTGCTAGGGGCAGTAAAGGGAAGAATGGTTTCCTGTATCTTCCAAGCGCTGGCCCCGAGCAGGCCGGATGATCACTCCCTAGCTGACTCATTTTCTTTCCTCGTTCATTCAACTAACATTTATTGAGTGCCGACTGTATCTCTGTACGAGAGCATTGTGCGTGGCGCTACAGCTCAGCTCTTCACATGACACAGCCCCCTAAGGGTTTACAAAACATACTCAGATTCCGAGTCCCCCGTTTTACAAACCCTACAAGCTTGAGTTCAAATCTGAACTCTTGCCACTTACTACCATGTAGTGACCGTAGGTAAATTACTTCACTTCTCTGAGCCTCAGTTTTCGCATCTGTAAATTGATTCCATATCAATAGCAATCTATTTCATAGAGCCGACATTTTGCCAACGAATATTTACTGAATGCCTTCTTTGCGACTTACATTGTTCTGGGTGCTAGAGGGGAACAGGATTGAATGCTGGGCTCAGTGCCTGTCACAATTCAAGGTCTCTATAAATTTTGGTGAAAATAATATTGACGATAACAGTAATAGTAATACTAATAATTTATCAAATATTTAGAACCTGCAAGACACTGTTCTCGAAACCAGTATTATTACCCTAATATAAAAGCTGAGGAAACCATCTCAGTAACCAACTTGTCCAACTAGCAAAATAAACAGCCTTAAATTTCAACCCAGCTTAAAACCAAATGATGAAACTTAATATCTTAATACACGCCTCTAATATTTTGCACTGAAAAAGACACACTATCACTGATGTAGTATTCAAACATGTTTGCCCTGAATCCAACCATGGAAAACAAACAAATCCTAATTGGAGGGGCAGTCTTCAAAACAACTGGCCTGAACATTTCATAAAGGTCAATGTTGTGAAATACATGCGCGTGGTAGGCAACAGCCTGAACTAAAGATTGAAGAGATGCAGCAAAATGCAATGTGTGCCCCTTGATTGGATCCTAGTTCCCCTCAAAATAATAATAATAATAATAATAATAATAATAATAATAATATAATAAAAGCTATAAAGGACATTCTTGGGACAATTGGGAAAATTTGAATATGGCTAGTATAGTATCAATGTTACATGTCCTAATTTGATACTTGCACTGTGGTTATATAAGACAATATCCCTAGAAAAAGTACCCTTTAGTATTTAGTGAAAAAAGAAAACTTTTTTCGAATGGTTCATAAAAAAATATGAATTTATATTTGTAGACAAGAGAATGATAAGGCAAAGGTGGCAGAGTGAAAATAATTGCTGACTCTGGGTGAAACATACGTGAACAACGTATGTGAACATTCTTTGTACTATCTTTGTAACTTTCCTGTGAGTTTGAAATAATTTCAAAATAAAAAGTTACAAAAATCATCTTTATAAAGAAACAAGTAGAACCAATTACGCTAGGACTCCTATATTTTGTTCAATTATCTCTTTTAAATAAACTAACATTTCTAACATTGACACCCCCCCCCAAAAAAAAAGAGACACGATAACTAAATGCAATGCATGATCCTTGATTGGATATTAGATATTTTTTTAAGTAAAAAGCAGTAATTTTAAAAGACATTATTAGAACAATTCATGAAATTTGAATATGGAATTTATATTATAGTGTATCAATGTTAAATTCCCTCAGTAAGAAAATGGTATTGTTGGGCCGGCCGAGTGGCTCAGTTGGTTAAGAGCTCACTCAAGAGTTTGAGCTCTGAGCAACAGCGGTTCGAGTCCAGCCCGAGCTGAGCAGCCGCTGAGCTGCCAACAGGTAGCAGGATGGCTCAGCTAAAAAAAAAAAAAAGGAAAATGGTATTGTGATTATATAAGAGAATCTCCTTATTCAAAGGAGATGAATGCTGAAGTATTTAGAGGTGTAGTGTCATAATTTCTGCAATGAATTTGCAAGTGGTTCAGGGAAAATGAAGCTATACACACACACACATATATATATATATATATATATATATATATATATATATATATATATATAAAGAGACAGAGAGAGAGGGAGAGACACACACACATATATATATATAAAGAGACAGAGAGAGAGGGAGAGAGAGCTCCCGAGGCAAATGTAACAATAGGTAAACCTAGGTGAAGGGTATACAGATGTACATGGAAACAGTCTTGCAACTCTTCTAAGGTTTGACATTTTTCCAAATAAAAAGGGCGGGGAGAAGGTGCTCACCTATGCAGTCTGAAACCAGAGCTATTATCTAAGTCACTATATTATGTTGCTATTGTCAATATTGTTATGATTATAATAAACCTAGATCCTGTCTCTGCCTCTGCCTTCATAGCTCTCAAAGCCATCTATCACCTCCACCTCTACTCTCCTCCGACCACCCCAATATTTTTCCTGATTGCAGTGGCCTCTGAACTTGTCTCAGCTTCTAATACAATAGATTGATCTTTCATCCCTTCTCCACACAGCAGCCAGAATAACCCACCCAAAGAGTGACACTGTCACTCTGCTATTTAAAAACTTTCAATGGCTTTCCAGTACCCTTCTCTTGACTTTCAAGACCCTTCTAATCCCTGCTTGCCTTTTGCCCCCACCCCCCCACACACACACATACACACACACACACGGACAATTTATGTTCTAGCCACACTGAACTTCTAGCCATTTCTGGCACATGTATTGTTCCATCTCTCTCAGCACAGCGTCTTCTTAGCACCTGCTCATCCCTTCTCTAGGACACCATCTCAGGCCAGGCTGATTTCAGCTCCTCCTTCAAGATGCAGCTCATATATTACCTCCCCCGGGGACCCATTCTCCAACCTGCCCCAAAGCTGGGCTGTTTACAGCGCTTTTCCACCTGGTATTATAAATGCATGTTTATCTGTGTCTACGCATTGAGGACAAAGGATGTTGGCCGAGGCTTGTTTACCTTCAAATGTTTGAGTGTTTACCAGGGGAGTCTAAGGGAACAGGCTATTTCCCCATTCCAGTTGCTCTGGTTCGTCTTACCTGCAGTGGCCGCAAATAGCCAACAGAGCCTTTTTTTTAGAAAGCCTTTAAGGTTTCGGAGAACTCAAATTGTTTGCCTCTTCCAAATGCCCATATCTTGCCCATTTCCACTTCAGAACCAAGAGATCCAGAATTGGGGAAAAGAGCCAGGCAACTAGAGCTACCCTAGGAAGACCTGGTCAGTCATAATTCATATTCCCTTCAGGACTCAGCAAATTTCCCATATTTCCCCTCCACCCTGGCCTAGGAGCCTGGCAGACTGCCAAGTCAATTACCCTCCATTCCTGCATCTAGAAACCAACGTCCAAATTGGTGGCAGGACTTGTGTGAGTCGGCTCACAAAGTATTTTTAAGAACTTTTAAGAATGCTGAATCGGTTCAGGGCCCCATCACAAAACAGCTGGCACACTCAGACTATGTAAGGGGCGTTTAATGAAAGGGTTATTTACAGAGTCAAGATTAACGGAGCATTTAAAGGGATGATAAAACCACCTGGGGCTGGCAACCCTGAGGTTTACAAGGTTAAGGGAAGGGAGTAGTTTTGGAACCTAGAGAAGGTGTGACCACCAACAGGCGTGTGACCTTCAGCAGAGGAACACAGCTGCTGCCCAAACATCTGGCAGAGAGGGAGCTGGGCAGGGTATAGCCCTCGTCATCCTCCTCACCTCCTGCCCCAGCCTCTGGCTGGCTGAGGGCAAAGGGGCTTGGGGCATAAAATGGGGCAAGGAATAAGAGACTTGGAGGGGCAAACAGAACATCCAGCACAGCCGCCAATATTTAGACGCTGGGGAAAGTAAGATGGTGTATGATCCTAAGGTTATACAACAGTCAGCTCCCCCACATATGTGTCTCTATAAGCTTTTATTTCACAGCGTGAGAATGGAGAAAGTGGGGGTTGTTCACGTGAGACTGTTAATATTTAGTGCCTAAGCAGAGCCCCGGGCAAGGGAGAAAGCAATTAAAAAAAAATAGGACATTAATAGGGATTCAGAGTAATTTAACAAAGACAATCATTGTCAAAGAGCATGAAACAATAATTTCAAGTGAGCTAGATCTTTGCAGATGCTGTTTCTAATTGTTTGGTTCTAGGGGTTGGCTACAGTAACTACAATAGTTTTTCAAGGAAGCACACACACACACACGCACGAGGAACACAGGTATTTACTACCATGAAAAGTATTTACAAAGCATAGGTAAAAAAATTATATGACAGAAAAGTATCATACCTGTACATTTTTAGAAGGTAGTCTGGGAGGATATGCCCAAATTGTCCATGGTGACTGCCCACAGATGAAGGATTATGGGTGGGTTTATTTTCTGTATTTTCATTTTCCTCCTCCTTTTTTTTTTTTTTTTTTTAGCTGAGACATCCTGCCACCTGTTGGCAGCTCAGCGGCTGCTCAGCTCGGGCCAGGACTTGAACCGCTGTTGCTCAGAGCTCAAACTCTTGAGCGAGCTCTTAACCAACTCAGCCACTCAGCCGGCCCTTCCTCTTTTTTTAAAACTATGTGTATTTTCTCTTTTTTCCCCCTAAATTAACTTGTATTAATTCTGTTATAAAGAATAAAACACCTATATGAGCTGGTTAAACAGGTGTGTTTGTGAATTTTCAGAAAGCTGTACACTTTTTGCACTTTTCCATGTATATTAATCTTCAGTAATATTTCCCAATATTAAAAAATGTACAAAATCATAAAGAAAATTTTAGAACCAATATAACTTTTTTAATTAAGATGAGATCCATGCAACATAAACATGACCATTTTTTAAGTGCACAGTTCAGCGGCATTTAGTACATTCACAATGTTGTGCAACCATCACTTCTATCTAGTTCCAGAACATTTTCTTCACTCCAAAAGGAAACCCTGTGCCCATTCGCCATCACACCCCATTCCTCCCTCCCCCCAGCTCCTGGCAC